TGTATATCCGTGTGTATTTATAGAAGTGTCTGATGATAATTCCAGCCTCTGGTCCACTCGGATTGTGAGAGGAAGGAGCGCCACCTACTGAGGCTCCACTTTACTGCTCCACACTGTTCCCATTCTGGATTACCATGAATATTGTTGAATCAGTGCTTTTAGATGTATTCGATATGCAAATAACAGCGTGGGCACATTTTTTTTTAGCATGATCTCACTCAGGCTGCTGATGTGATGGTTTTGGAGCTTGTTAAAATGTGGTTTGTTAACAACATAACACATAAAGAGGCTAATTTAACCATCTGCTGGTTTGCTCAGTTTGCCTGCCAAAACATGGTAATAAAACATCTTTGTACTCGTTATTGTTGTTAAAAGGTTATCTGATATTTAAAAGAACAAATGCTGAATTTATTTGCTGATGAAAATGAAAAGTGAATGAACATTTTTTCCCCTTCTGTAATCCATGTCCTATTATAGGACACAGAAAAACTGAACTGCAGCTACATAAGATACACATTCAGATCTGTTATGTAAATAAAAATAGAGGAATTTTAAAATATTCAAATGAATTAAAAGTCCTGCTTGTTTTTTTGTGTGTGAAATCTGAACCTGCAAAGTAGCTAGTAGCTGGCAAATAACTACTTGAAGGAAAGTTTTAGTGGTGTGGAATTATAAAAAAGCATTAAATAGACATTTTTACAAGTTGTAATTAAGAATAGTGTTTGAGATAATTAGTTTAGACGAGCTGCGAAGTAAAACATGGAGAAATTGATGTGATGATCAGCAGATCCATCTGGACCACTTTATTTTTTTTCTTTTACATCACCATTTTCATAATGATCTTCATTGTTTATCTTCCAGATGATATTTTCAATTTGTATTACTATCACTTTATTCATGGAAATCTGTTAAATCATTGCACAATTGGTTCTCAAAATGTACACATACAGTAGCATATTTGATTGACCATTTTCAATGTTTTCATATTGACTTTTAAAACTAGTTCAAATGAAGTTGAGAGGGGAACAGAACATGTACATACATTTATCCAATACATACCTAAAGAAAATAAATAGTTATCGTAAAAAATAAAAAATACAACTGAAAAAAATACACACATTTTACAAATTGATCCCCAGGCTCCCTCCCCTGTAGTTTTATCATACAGATATATTTTTTTTTTATTTAACGACAGCTCATTATCATCTTCACCACCAATAACAATGTTTTTAGGTCATTGTCGTTTGTTTGACATGCATCGTAAACACAGAGGCTAAAGGTTTTGTTTCCTGGGCTTCCTCAGGCTCGCCCCTCTCTTCCTGCCTCCTTCTGATCTCCTAATGCTGGCGTGCTCTTGGTATCTGTTATGGCTTGTGTGTGCAGTAAAATGACCAACTTCTGTCCATCCTGTTTTTTTTTTCCCTCCTCCTTTTTAGTCGCTGTTTTGTCTCTCTGTCGCTCGCCCATCATCAGGATAAGCCCGGACCCTGAGCTGATGATTACAGGTCATAAACAGCAGAATGACATTGCTGGGGGCGACTGAGGTGTTTAGAGTTTGTCTTCAAAAACAAGTCTTTCTTAACATATTTATAACTTGGGTACCACGTTACAGAAAGGGGCACTTCACAAAGGCTTTTCAGTCTTTAAATAATGGGATTGTGTAAATTAAAACCATTTTATCTATATTCCAGTGATACTTCTAGGTTGCCAGGTTGTGAATTTAACTTTTTATTTTTTTGGCTCAGTAAGAAAGAATTTGTGGGCCAAGCTTGCGTCTTTGAAAGGCTGTATTTAAGCATATTGGTGCTAACTTGCATGCTTATTTTAGCTTTATAAAATGTTAATGTTAGCACTATAAGCAAAAATCAAAGCACAATCAAAAAATCTGACCCTGTGATGGGGCCATAAGAAACGTCAGGGTTCACCACAGTTAAAGATCATCCTCAGGGGACCACGAATGTGTCGACCATTTCTATTTCACAGAAATCCATCAAATAGTTGTTGATGTTGTTGAGGACACTGCCATCCGCAGAAACACTTAAATGACGTACTTCCTAATAAATCACCAAGTCTCCAGTTAAAATAATTTTTACTTTATTTCAATTCACTCATTTCACAACCTGGCAACGGAAAACCCAGTCGCTTTTTATGTATCTGTAAAGCATTAGTATATGATATGCATTGATAGGGCTCTTAGAAAATTCATTTTGATAAGAAAATGTGTGTCTTAAAAGCAGAAGCAGATATATCCTGACTTTTTACGCTCTAGTATGGGCCACACTCCCAAAACCCTGAATCCTATTTCCCATGATGCAACTTTTACATTAAAGTCCCTCCACAAATGGGCATCCATTTCTAACCTCACGCCTCTCAGATGTAAAGCTGTTGAAGATTTTAAGTATCAAGACAATGGCGAGTTCACCCACATGATGCTACTGTCACATCATGAGGCTTACGACCTCCACAAACCACAGGCGACATTATACGACTGTTTACACAGGCTGAGCATTGTTCCGCTTTAACACTGATGAAACTTTAAAAAGAACGAACCCCTTTGCAAAGAACAGCTTTTTATAAAGTGGCACCAACACTAACTTTAAGCATTACCTGCTATCACCGTCGTAAAAACAATGAACACAATGTCTCTGTGGCCTCACTCCGCCCAGTCCCATCCACTTCGGAGCCTTTTGATCTTTATAAAAGGGCCTCTTCAAAAGAAATTACTCAGCCTATCGGTTTTCAAGGTGCCAATAGACAAAGCTCGAGGAGGGTCCCTCTGATGTGGTCAGAGCTTAACGGTGGTCTGAATTCGGACATGTTTTACTACATCGCTCAGCCAATTGGGGACACTCACTCCCCCCCTGACAGGGACCATAGAAGCCAACAATAGAGCCACCATGGCCGACACTAGACACCAGTTGCCTCAGGAGTAGAAAGGGGAACGCCGGCGTTGTTTAAAGATGTCACATGTCTACGTCCGTCCACCCATTTCCCCCCCAAATGATTTAACAGTCCTTTCCTTCCTTTTGTGTTTAAAAATCGAAACTGTACAGTGACTTGCAACTCTCAATACAAACACCTGTTGTTGAGCAGAAGTTGTAAGGCGACATGTTTAGTTGTATTCATACTGTAAGAGAATAAATGGCAGCAAGTGATTTCCCTCTGAAGGAAGGAGAATAAGCCCTGATATTGCCAACTCTGCTGACGATGTGCAGACGGAGACAGGAATGAAAGAGAGGGGAAACCTGCATGACCGGAACACACCTAACCAACGCCGTCGTCACCCTTTGTCGACTCTGCAGCAGTTACAGAGAGAGAGAGAGAGAGAGTGAGAGAGCAAGCGAGAGCAAAGACAGAACGACAGGAAGAGAGAGACAGAGAGAGAAAACAGCTGATCCCGTTCAACCTTCCAAGTCTGGTTGGAAAATACATTCATACATTCTTCATGTCATTTTCCCATTTATTCCTTTGCTTCTGTTATTGCAGAATGGTCAGACCGAGAAGATTTATTTTAAAGTTAAATGGTATATTCATTGCTTCTTTCTCCGTGGACGAGCGAGAGGGTCCTCTAGTCCCAATCCAGTCAGCGCCCTGAGGAGAGAAACAGCATTATTCCCATGTCACTGCCTCTGTGGCCTTAATTCAACTCTGCCCAAATACTGGTCGACCAAACCCACCACTTTAAGACCTTAGAGGAACTGCTAAAACCCCAGGCTCAAACCAATCCACCACAACAAACGAATGAATCAAACAAGGTTCAGAGAAATGTGCTCTGCACATGTGCTGAGGCTTCTCACTGGCTCGGAGGAGCTGTATTGGTCTCTGCACACAGACGAAACTCCACACAACCAGGCAGTTCAATTAACGTGGCCGACAGTTCTTACCTCATCCCCTCAACAGGAGTACGTCCTCACTGAGGCAGATTCACCCCGGGCACCAGAGTTGGCTGTGCAGGAGACCGGGAGACACAGATGGGGTCATTATCGTAACTGCAATGTCTTAAACAGCACTGACCTTCCACAGACTTTATGATTAGGAAGTGGAATGAGGGATAATGGTCTTCTTCTGCACTTTGAAGTGTCTGTTCCTTGTTATTGCCAACTCCTTCGCTAAAGGAAACAGAAAATTCCACTGCCAAACTAATGGCAGAGTAGCATGAAAACAGCCAACTGCTCAGTGCATGCTACTCTGGTTTTGCATTTGCAGAGTGGCTTACATAATACCCAGTGTATTGTGGATGTGGACAAATGTTTCTGTTCAAGGCTCATTTCCAAAGAAATCAAGACTTAAACACATGGCTCTTTTATTATCAGAGTGTTTACACCTGATCAGAGTTGGATCTGAAACCTGGCTGCAGCAGACCTTGTGCCCGATTCCTCTCGTGTTCTTCATGTGAGTAATGCTATATAGAGTAACAGCTTTTTACACAACGTCTAAATACAGACGCGCCCGACGGGCTCCAAGGAGCTGAAAAAATGTGAATATGAGAGCCAAGCTGTCAGAGGTCACGGGTCACACTCACCATCACTCTGAACCTTTCTCAGGGTAACAGAGGGTGTGGAGATGGCTGAGGCACGGAAGTTAGCAGGCAGGGTCTCGGCAGAGTCAGAGGTCAGGCCCCGGAGATCTTTCTCCCTAAACATCTTCCTCCAAGAGGGCGAGCGGGTGAACGTCTTAGTTCCATCCTGTCAGACACACAGTGTGTGAAAAGATGGCTGCTCAAATAAACCATTCCTTAAATCAGTCTAAGAAAATGATGATTGTGCTGACCTCATCGGGTCGTCTCTCAGTTCCCATGGAGATGAGAGAGTTGTACTCTTGCTCCAGGAGCTGTCTGGCCTGCAGGAGAGAGATGATGTAGAGCCTCCAGATTAGATTGGACACAGCAGATGATGAGGTTTTCATTCAATCATGTGTACATGCTTCAAAACATTACAGTTGTAACTCGAAAGGATCAGATGAGGCACATTTAAAAAAAAAGTCTTTTAAGGACATCAGAGAGAAATGATGATGATGATGAAATAATGGAGAGAGAAACGCAACAAAGGTCCTGGACCAGAGTCAGGATGCTGTGATGCAGGGTTGGTGCTTTAACCCCCGAGCTGGGGGTGCCCAGGTTGTTACATATATTGATTTTAGACATGTATCATATTTAAGTCTAATTTGAGGCTTAGATTCCTTTGAAAAAAACCCATCATATTGTCCCGTCTTACAAAAGCAGATCTTTCTAGTTGGACTAGTTAATTACCTAATAATTACAGACGTCTCTCTGTGACTCACACTTTTTGAGAACTGTTCCTCTTATCGCCTTCACACTTGGCAGGTCTAATGAAAAGGGCCAAAGGAAGAGTTTAATTTGGTGGAATCTGGAAACACGACACATTCAGTATTGATAAAATATGAATAAACAGGAGATCAGCATTCTGTAGCAGCAGTGACCGAGACTCATTAACGTAACTGACGTGACGACAAAAGACACATTCACGACAAAGGCAAAAACAACTGATTCTCCAGTTCGGGGGTTCTGAGTACTGAGTTGAGCTTCCCTGAACTCTGCAGCTCAATAACTGCAAGTCGCTTTTACAGTTTCAGTAAGAAAACAACAACCAGCATCGCCACAGGGCAAACAAACAGCACATTCCAAACAGGCCGGTTCAGAACGAGCACTGCGCTAGTTTCGAAAATGTAATAAAAATGAATTGGTGTTAAAGAGAAGTACAGTAATATAGATTCTAAAAATGATTAAATTATAAGGTGATGTAATGTGGCAGGTCCAGGCTGGAAGAATTAACGTCAGTTTTCACATTTATCTGCAGGATTCTCTGACATTATAACTGGTTTGGAATCTAACTGTGGTCTAGTGTAAAAGGATGATGTGGAGACTTGAAGCCTCCGGTGCAGGGGCTGAACCATGAGAACGGATTTCAGATATCTTGTGTCCAGAACTTGGACACAAGATGTCACAAGAAGCTAAAAATATTTGCACATTCACAGATTTGGGATGCTTTGGAATGAGGGAGGAGAACATTTGTGTTCTTCTCGTTATTATTCAAAGCAGCGCATATTTGTGCATGTTAAAGTTTAACTGAAATCACATGTAGTCACTGTTTTCTCTTACTGAAACAAGGAACAAAACATGTCTGTGTGTGAACATCAGAATACTTTCTTTTGTTTGGGACAGATTGACAGTTTTCTGTAGTGCCCTCCTCCATGTTTGTGATTAGGTTCGGGTTATGGTCAGACGTGGCAGAGGCAACTGGTTCTAAGTTTGGGGTATGGTTATGATAAACTTCAATGATTTATTGTTTATTTATTAACACACCAGTGTCCACCATGGTGAACATGAGGACAAGGTAAACAAACTTTTACATGGCGTTTACATGCTATTCAGTGCAGATATTTTCTAATTTTGAGAAGAAGCAGATGTTAGCAGGAAAGCTAGTGTGACTGTTCAGTCTCTTATGTTGCTGTCCTGCATCAATCTGCGCAGACGAATGGTTCTCCAGGAGGCACAATCATGAAACCATAAAATAGAAATATGAATTTCTCCCTTTCAATGTCTGATTTTGTGTTTGGCTTTAAAATGTTAAAAAGGCCAAAACAATATTGATATCGATGCCCTTGAGAACGCCTCGATCCACTGTATTCCTTTTCTTTTCTCCTCATATGAAGAAACCAATGCTTTTGACATGAAAAGCTTTTTATAAAAAATCGGTGACCTTTTAAACAGCCCGTCAGTTACCTGCGTGTTCTGATTGGGGATCTGCAGCAGCAACGCCAGGTCAGTGTAGTCAAAGGTGTCGTCTAAAGCCAGCAGAGCCCCGTGGACGCCACTCTCACGGAGGTTGTCGCCGTACTCCTTCAGACCGATCGTCTGTACCCAGCACATCACTCGGTCGTTGGACCACACCATCACATCTAGGAGGAAAGATGGAGACGGTGAAGGGAGAAAGAGGAGGCATCCGTCTGGGAATGGCAAACTGTCCTCTCGCTGTTTTCACACAATAGATCAAGATTCTTATAAGTTAATGCTCTGGTGAGGTGGATAAATTACCTGATAGCTTTCCAAATAGTGTCTCTTCTTCACCGATTTGTTTTCGGGATATGGACTGAACAGGTCCCACTCATCATCAGACGAACCCAAAACAAACTCATTTGTCACACAGGACGAAGTGAGCCAAGATGAGCTTAATGTAAAATTTACAACATGTGTTTCCGAAGACAGAGTGGTGGAAGAGCAAGAGATTTGGGTATGTTTAACGAGTGTGTTAACATTTATGTCATCATTATCCAGCCAAATTGCAAGAGAAAGTTGTGAAAGTGGGGGCGCAACAGCCCCCACTACCACAAATGTTTCTTTCAGGGGTGGTCCAAACATCTCCCATCAATGTGTGAGAGACGGCAAAAATCAAAAGGAACAGTTTGTTTTTTTGCCTTCATTAAGTTTATGGGATTTTCTTAGAACAGGAAGAGATTTATTTTATACGCTAAAGCTGATGAATTAAAGGAAATGGTAAATCATTTTTTATAATTTACTGATGTGAATCAAAGCGAAGCAGCGATTTCGTTTCTCTTTTTATGTCACCATACTTTTATAATTTCATATCACAAGTTAAACATAGCGGGAAAATGCTACTGCAACTGGAGCTGCTAAAAAATCTAATATAATTATTAAGCAACAATCTTGTGGCTCCAAAGTGTTTCACACACAAGATACAAATGCAGGCCTCGTATTCTCTGGGCGAGGCTAAAAACAACATTCATGTTTCTACCTGTGTAACTTTGCTTAAGTATCTCCTTTATCTGTTGAGTTATCTTCCAATAGAGAACAGGGTTATAACTGTAATCAAAAGGGCTATTTTTAGGCTTCTGTTCAGACCTATGACTTGTTCGAGGGCCACAGGTGTAAGGGGCCTCTGGGCCAGAGCCTCTGTATGAAATAGGTTTAAATATTTGGTTGTTCACGTAAGATATTAACTCCAGACATGGCTTCCTGTGTAGAAGAGATGGGGGGCTTTTACTTGTCTGTGACTAGTATCCTGAGATATTTGTATTCTAGGTTTGTGTCAACAGGCCCACTCACTCACTGTGAATATATTAGATTTCTTTCGTATTCTCACACGGGCTCACTCAGACATTCTCTGGACATTTTACGAGTGGCTGGCATGAAAAGTTGTGGAAAATGTCCAGAGTCATGTTGAAGCTCATTAACTGGGACATTTTGCAGCCTGGTTTAATGAGGTGACATCGTGATTATGTGTCATTTATTTATTTTTTTTCAAAACAGGTTACCATTGTAATACTTGTGATGCTTGGCACAATTTGTTCCAGATTTATAAGGATAGATGGTGTATTGTTGTTTGTTTCAAATTAAGAACACATACGAAACATCAACAGCAGCAAGCTTCTGAGTCACAGCGCAGTTACAGTCAGGTACACTGCCATTAACTCCAGAAACCGGTCTCCCTGTAGAGCAAAGCCTGTGCTTGTTATGCAATTTAGGTCAGAATGTAGATTAAAATGACCTTTTAATGTTTTATTGTTCATTATATGATGATTTAAAGGATTTAAATTCAGATGTGCTATTTTGGGCTGTCGAATTTTGTGTTTCACAACTGTGACCATATGTTTGGTGTTGAATGAGTCCATATGGGCCACATTACCAGTAATTTAAAAATGGCAACAGGACAAATGAGGCAAGAAAAATGTGTAAGAATAACAATGGTGTAAATAATTTACCTGGAAATAGATGCAAGGGTTCATATAGTAATGACTAAGGTATGCTTTGAACAGGACAATAGCACAGCATGAATAGAAGAACTAGTTGGTTGGATGGGGGTTAGAGACACTTAAATACCATCCCACATCTGGGGCATGAATGATGAGATAATAACTGATTAAAAAAAAAAGAGCTCACCTTTGTTCTGGTGGGCGCTCTCTTCTCTCCTCCTCTCCAGCTCTTTGCGATCGTAATTCAGACGCTTCAGGCACATGATGCCGTAATGCAAACTGACCCTGGGATAGGTCAAAGAGCCAGAAGGCAAGTGGGTTAACTGAGGTCATGTTTCCACTCTTACCTGTACTCAGAAAGCATTAACACAATCCTGAGGCCTCTGAGCCCTTAACTCCTTTTAAAAGAGGACTTAAAGAGGGCCTGGAGACACACACCTGAACAGTGAGAGTGTCCTGTGTCACAACAATAGGAGCTCTCAAAGAAAGACAATAGCAAGGAATGAGAGGTGAGAAGAAGAGGTATGAATTATGGCTGTGAGCGAGAGCAGGCACGCATAAGCAGAGCTCTACCTGTGGAAGCTGTCCACCATTTTGAGCTGTCCTCTCAGCTCCTTCTTGGTCAGGTGGTCCAACATGCGTGCATCCACCAGGGACTCCATGAAATAGCTGCGATACTGTGGCAGGCCCAGGCTGGGCAGCCAGTCGTTGCCCACCCACTCGTGATTCATATCGCCATAGGCCAGTATCTGGAGGGGGACAACCACCGATGATTAACGCTGATTCACGCTTGGCTTGATATCTGATGGCGGCTGCAATTCAGCGGCTCATGACTCACCGCGCTTGGTCTCACAAGAGATAAAATTACTGACAAATGTGCAGCATGTTGGGTTAATTCTGACTTTACAGAAGTTGCGGTTGATCCTTACCTGATCCCAGCTGAACTCTTTCAGCTCCTGCAGCGGCGAGAGAAGAGAAGAGGCAGACAGAGAAAGAGACGGATCCAGAGAGAGTGATGTGGAGGTGGTGAGGGAAAGAGGAGTAGGGGTCAGGAGCAAGGTGGAACGGATGTAGGAGAAGCAGAGGAGGAGGGAGCAGCAGCCGCAGCAGCAGGAAAGAGGACAAAAGGGAGGAATAGTGTGTTAGTGAACGGGTCATTAGTTGGAAGCAGTTCACACTGAAACAGCAACAAGAGGGACAGAAGAAGATGCTCAACACTATGGCCTGGGCCCACAGAGAGATAGATATATAAAGAGACAGAGACAGAAACAAAAAAAGTGTAGAGAGTGTGAGAGGAAGAGGGAGGAGAGAGACTCATCAACATGGTGCAGACCAGACCAGACACTTAAAATACTTTAAAAATGAGTCAAATAATCATGAAAACGTAAGCAGAGGTTTTGTTGGACAGAGACAGAAGAGCCAGGGCACTAACCGGAGGCTTGGTGGCAGCGTTCAGAGACTCCATCTCTGCGTGGGTCATCCACACGTTACTTGTCGACTGTGGTCATGTGAACAGGAGGAAAGTGAAAGCGTGAGATTAAAAAGCATCACATATTGCATCGAGTCAATGCTTCTACATTTTGAGCTGTGCCAAAAAAAAAAAAGAAGCTACATCACTAGGTGTTAGCAGACTACTTTCTCACTGGAGGTCCCACCGGCTTGTGTGAGCAAGAGGGATAACTCTGCTGAGCAAAATTGTATGACTGATCATTTTTTTAAACATTATATCTCGTTAATGCTGTAAATACATGAGAAGCCAAGCGAGGACTGGGAAAAATGCCAAGCCGAATCAAAATCTGGTGTTGGAGCCAAACTGCAAAATTGAGTAAGTCTGAGGAAGACGAGTTTTAGTTATTTATGACTCCACTTCTTGGGAAAAGGAGATATAAAAAGGCTGTGTCATCAATGTATGAGCATGTACAACAAAGTTTTTAAACATCTGGTTTATCTATTTAAACATTTTGAATTAGTTAAGCCTTATTTGAGAGAAAAGTAGGTAAAAACTATATCATGTCACTACCTTTCTCCTGTGAAAAATCTATGAGTATTTATTTTCCTTTTAGTTTCTTTGACTTGCATCTATTGCTCGATCTGTTTTATGTTCTTTTGCATGTGACAGCAAAGCTTGTGTTTCTCCCCTTCTCTTTATTCCATCCATCATCTATACGGCTCATCCTCTGAGGATCCCGGGGGAGCTGGAGCTAATCCCAGCTGACAGTAGACACTAGACAGATTGTGAGGTAACAGTGGTAACCACAACACCATGCCGCCCCCTCCTTTATTCATCTTAACATAATATACTTTTTACTTTTACCCCGTCCTTGTTTGGTATCATGTACTTTTGATAAAAAATATTTTTGTATCCTGTCACTGACTTTCACAGGAAATGGCCAAATGGATCATTCACATTTGAGCTGATCTCAAATCTACAAACATCTGAGTCAACGTGTACTTCACACAGCTAATGCTTGAATGCTTTTTTAATGAAAAATATATAAGCTCAGCACAGAGAATCTTGCAAAAATCGACATATGAAGGTGTTAAAAGTCTCAATATACTCCAATTACACATCTCTTTAAATTTAATCCTCCAGGAAAGTTGTCAAGACTGGGATTTTTTGTGGCTTATGAACATATGTGCAGCTGTAACGCCTCTTTTTTCTCTTTGAAATGAAAGAATGTGTTAAATGTTATGTGCAGTCACAGAGTCTCACAGAGCGAGTGCTGGCCGGCGCTGACGGGCTGGTTAGGGACACCATCTCCTGGATGGCCAGCCTCAGTTTGAGGCGGTGAAGAGGATTACTGATGCCGATCTCTCTCTGGATCTCTGTGTCGGACAAGTTGGCCATGATGGCGCCGCTCTTAACATTTGCGCGACAGGCTGCGACGTACCAGGCTGGCATTCCCACCCACAGCTGGTAGGAGGCAGACATGAGATGTTATATGAATCCAAATTTTGTTTTATAATTAATCTTATCCCATCCCTAAGTTTCCTGTACCTCCAACCAAGATACAACAGTCGGCCCATCCCAAGATGCAAAGGGAAGTCCTTGGCGACATGCTTCTTCTAGTAGCTCATGCCTGTTGGGAAAAATCAAAAGTCTTATTCAGTTCTCTTCTCGAGAAAACACAAAGTTTGAAATGATTATCACGTTGAAAATAAAAAGCCTTCTCTTCTCTTCTGACACTCACTTCTTCTTGCTGCGGCGGTCTTTATCTGCTGGACCCAGAGTCCCAGTTTTGTTTATCCCCATCGGGTCTCCAGAGGCCAGGTCTTCAGAGGGTGTAGATGCTGGTCACAGGAAGGTCAAAGGTCACAATCAGAATAAATTACAGTAGAGATACGAGCACCTCAGATACATTTAAATGAAAATGCTAACGAGTAAATAACTCATATGCAGTCAGTGTTATCAGCCTTGTCCTCCATCTGTTTACCAAGAGAAGCAGATCCATCCCGCCCGGGCTGGCCCATCCTCCCCTTCTCCTTCTTTCCAAAAAGGCGACCGATGGAAGACTTGATGCTTTTCTTCTTATTGGACTTGTGGAGAGAATCTTGGCTGCTGTTGGAGCTGCTACCATCTGCCGAGAGACTGGAGGACACGAAGGAAATCACTGAGGGTAAAAAAAAGCTAAATATGCAATAACAGCATATTTGATATATTGCTAACACTTTGTGATTAGGTAAATGATTAGGATTTATTAACTATATTTAATAGTTGTCTTGGTTAATACACAATTTACTGGTTCTTTATAGATCAGTTATAATCCATTACCAGAGTAATATCCCAGCTTGCTCTTTAATTCATTAACTGTGACCATTAATTAGATGATAGAGGTATAAATCTAAATAAATAGAGCATTACATGTTTTGGTAATAACATGGCTATAACTGTTGGTAAAGCATTAATAAGTACACAGAGTTTGGTACCTATAAGTCACCAGCGTTGCAGTTATAAATGTCAATAAATCTGAAAGTAGTAATTCAATCAATTGGAGATCTCTACCTCAAAATGTCTGTAATTACTTACAGTTTATAAATGGTGCCTTATCTGAAAATGATACTAACATGCATTGTCTAATGTGTGTGAGCCTTACCTGCGAAAGTCCCGGGGGTCATCGAGCATCGCGCCTGGGTGGGTGAGAGCCATCCTGTCCAACCGCAGTGCACGAGGAGTCGGAGGAGGTGTCGAGTCAAGAAGTGCAAGGGACCGATCATCATCTTTGCTGTTCTAGAACGTTATGTGTAAAAAAATCTATTAAAAAACACCAAATATTGAACATGTTATGCAACTTTACACTCACGACACTTGAATCGTGAACTGGACTGTTTGTTATTATGCTTAAATACTTTTCCAGGAAAACTAAGGCTGCAAACATTTAATTGCATCAACTAATATGTACTTAACTCACGGTTATGCTCCGTCATCATCTTACAATTCATTATTTTCGAATAATCCCTTTAATCAATAAACTGACAAAAAATAATGATACATTATGTTCATAATTTGCTTAACAGCCAAAGTATTGAATTAACTCAAACCACCAGTCAAAAGGTCAAACCTGCAGTTGACAAACAGCCATGTGATGATAAATGTAGCTTTAACCTCACAGATGTAGTATAATTTGAAATGGAGAAGATTCAGGGTTCACCTCTCCCATGTTTGAGCCACAGTACAGAGTCGGCCATCCATTGTTGCTGTAAAGTAGGGCCCTATATTGAGCAAGGTAACATTTAATAGCAATGTAAAGGGTGATCCCCTCTAATGTGTTTGGTTGCAATTTGATGACTGACCTCTATTTATGTTAAAGTGAGTTTCTCTGTGGTCTCAGGAATTCAGTTATTTTAACCTTCATAAACATTAGGAAACAAGAGCTATTGGCTTTTACTCTACATATTTTTTCCCTTCTCGGGTCCTCCATTCCAGTCCTCCCATTGTTAAAGATTTAATTGTCATGTGAATGCACGTCTCCTGCTCTTCTTGAACCCCCCAAGGTTTGATCAGACCCATGTGCTGTTTTAAAGACAGATTTGTCAGTAAACACTGTGTTTGGTCACAATATGTTCACTCCCGTTGTTGACTTGAAATCCACACTTAAATATAGAAAGAAACCAAAACTGTAGTAAATGATCAGAAGCATGAATCATGCATCTATAACCAGAAATAAACATAGCGGTGGATGAAACAAAGAGGTTTAGGGGTAAGGAAGAAAGGGTAAGGGGTCGGATGGTAACGGTGAGGAAGGGGTAAGTAGAGAGGAAAAAGTGTTTAGTCTTTTGAGAGCATCTTCTACACCCCTTCTTTCCTCGTCTCTTCTTCTGCTCCTGAAGTCTCGTTCACCTGTGGCTCGAGGTGCTGTTTATGACCTACACTGCAGCCAGCCACCAGGGGACGATTGCGACACTTTGGCTTCACCTTTGGGGAGCTGTCATGTCGTCCATCTTAATATACAGTCTATGGGCTTTAGGGAATAAAGACCAATCAATCTATTACAACTGAAAATAACTTCCTAAGACTTCAGCTTTTTGAAGCCAGTGAGGTGTCTGACCATTGTTGTCTGTTTGTTGTTTTTTTGGCTTACATCCTGCTTTGTAGCTTTAACTCCTCATATCGACATTACAGTCTTTAACACCATTGACAGCCTGTTATTTCTTAAATGCACTGTCTTTTGTAATTCATCCACCCACCTCTGAAATACAGTAACCAGAGTGTCTGGCACCAACTAACATACCGAGTTACTTCAATCGATGTTAGCCAATCTAACCTGATGTTGAGGAACAACTGAACTTCTCTGACCCTGTCAGAATGACTTACTTGTATTTTATTCACATGACTCACTGTCTGGAGGAGCTGTTTGCATAAACAGGATAAAAGAGGAACAAAAAAAGTTAACATAGCTTGGAATAGAAGTTAATGTCTGTATTCTAGCAGTACCTGTCGATCAGTTTCACGGGCGGGGGAGTGCGGCAGGCGAGGGGTGGAGTGTCCAGAGCTAGGGGGAGAGGGGGAGGCCAGGGTCGAGGATGTGATGGACGAGGGGATGAAACCCCGTCCTGTGCTGTCTCTGCCCAGGGAGGTCGGAGGCATGGGCGGACTGTCCAAGGCCACGCTGACCCGGCTCTCGATCTCCTCGGCCCGTAACTCGGTGTTCTCCTTCTCTTCCTGGATGAGTCTAGTTTTTAATGTGGAGAGAGAAAAGGAGGAGGAGGGAGAGGAGTCATCATTTGTCATCAATATGGGGATGATGACATACTCTACTATGATGTGTAAATATTTTTCACTTATAAATATTTAAATCAGAAATTTTTACTCTAAAGTTTGTAATTTTACAGAAAGAATATTTCGGCTCTGATGTTGTATATTATCTTCATTATCTTGAAACAGTTTTTAATTGTTTTCTGCTGTTTACCTTGAGTTCTTAATTTTTTTATCTTGTAAAGGATTTCAAAGTTTATAATTCTTATATTATATAATTAACAGATAAGGACAGTCTATAGGGCATTTTCTTGCGCTTACACGCTTAGCATAGCTTAACATAAAGATTTAGTTTAGTTATATAGTTATAGTTTAGATATAGAAGCAGTTGTATTTGATAAAATATAATCATCTATAAGATCACCTTATAACCAATGTAGTTTGTTTTCTGTTGATTGGCTCGTCAAATTATTTCACACTCAAAAAAAAAAAACAACACTTTACTGTTTCCATTTCGCCCAACTTTACACTTCTACTTCAGTACATTTCAAAGAGAAATCTATCAACTATTTATTCTTTTAAATGTATTTAACAAACATACATGTAGCTGCTGGTTAATTTTGCATCATAATCTTATTAAAATGTTATTTTGGGAAACAAAGTGATGAATGCTCTCACAACCTCATAGATCTATCATGTAACCCTTTTGGAGGAAGCTGACTACAACTTGGGAGCCCCTGAAATTAAACCACCTTGCTGTTTACAGTATTAACTAAAGAATTTTGTATTATAATAAAACATCAGTCTCAGGGAAATTACATTCTGCAGAACAAGTACTTTTACTTTACTTAAGATTTTTAACGCAGGGTATTTATTCGTAAAGTAACGGAACAGATGACACCATCCACCACTGCAGCTGTTGTTCTAATGGTGTCAGAGAGGCGCTGATATGTTTATTTTCAAGGCTATAGTGTGTGATGGTGTTCAATCCGACCGTTTTATGTGGAAAGACATTTCTGCCATTCTCACTTCCCTGAACCCCCGTTCCCTTCCTCCCAGCTGTTCAGCACTGCTGCCCTTCCTCACTTGATCTCCTTATTGATGGCCTCCAGCTGTTCCTGCAGCATGATGGCCAGGGTCTGCACGTCCGTCTGTCCACTAGGGGACAGCAGCTCGGAGCCGAAGCGATGATCTCCGTCGTCCTCATCGTCGGAGCAGCCCACGTCCACCCCTGGATCAAACCCGGTCCCAAGAAGACCACCACTCTCCCAATCTGGGTACTGCACATGAAGAGCAAGAGAAAGGAGCACAATACCCGTTCATGGACGGATCACATTTACAAATCCTCATCATTGACCCTTTTTGAACACCAAGTAATTTTTTAGCAAGCTAGCGAGCAAAGCTTACAACCTTCAAACCGGCCTCATCAATTAGCAAATACCTGCATGCGCATACAGTCTCACAGAAATCTTGACGATCAGAGGTGATAACTGGTTTCAATTAAAATAAGGTTTTGAGTTTGTTTCGTCAATAATAGCCATGGAAGACCAGGATAAATATAATGTTGTCAACATGAAAATGACAGATATAGTTACAGTAAGTAATCTATTTAGATTTTTCCTCTCAGAGCTGATTACTTACACATAAGCCCGACTTTTTCAGGTAGAAAGATAACATTTTTGTGTTGGATTGTAGGGATGTTAAAACTCTCACCTTGGTCGAGTCCTCTCGGGCAGAACTCCAACGGGCTCGGGGACTTCGCCTGACCACACCCCCGGTGGAGGCGTTACAGAAGGGATCCAGATGAGTGGTGGAACCTGTGGGGAGGGACCCGCCCCCATGGGAATACCGCAACTCCAGGGCGCTACCTGGCAGTGAGCGACTGGAAAATAGATGGAAAGATGATGTGATACAAGATGAGATAAACAGTTATTTATCCCTGCAAGAAGAATAACATTGTTGATAGATTGATCCGTGTTTTCGATAACAACACACCGACACCGGTATCAGCAAGTATCACCAAAATCTCTCTAATCTTGTTGTCTTTCCCAGATGACGCGTTCATCTCTGTCTTCTACTTGTATGGCTCTACTCTTTCATCCTGAGATACTTCTAGTTTTGCAACCATCGCATGTTAGTAACAACATCATCACTCCCACAGCTCACTGTAATTTTACCAGGCAGAAAAAAGGTTCTGGAAAATGTGTTCTCACATACAGCCCCTCCCAACGGAAATTTCAGGGAAAGCACAAGTTCAGTTCTTAGAAAAAAAAAGACAGGATGCATGAGGGGATGCAAAGAGAATAGATGAAAGACATGCAGTTAAAAGATCGGCCGGGGATTGAACCACATGAGTTGATCATGCAGTAAACAATCAGGCAGCCTCAAACTATAAGATTAACGTCACATCTTTCAATAAACAACACAGAATGTGTTGAGGCATGCAGGAGAGACTGTGAGAATGAGAAGTGTTGGCTTATGGGTGTGTGCATACAATAAATGAAAAATGTTTATATGTCAACACTGCTTTGGACTTTGTAAGTGTTCAACACCTCCAGGGTGATGTGATTTATCTGCAATGTCTGACAAGATGACAGCCACAACACTGGCATCTTTACAGTCAGGCAAGGCCGCACTGGAGAATAATTGTTCAAGTTTGGATTAGTTTTGTCTAAACTGCTCTTACCTGGAATAAGAGCCCCCAGGTCTTGCTCTTAGCTGATCTAACTCCAGCTGAAGCCTTTCGAGCTCCGCAATCAGTTGGTCCTGGGAGTGAAAACCAGACAAGAGTTGTTGGGAAAAAAAGGGAACATGTGTTCACCAGCTTCAACTGAGAGTGAAACCCAGAGTTGAATCACCTTGTTTGCTATGAGATCATCTTGGAGTTTCTTCATATTAGACAGTTCCTCAGATAGAGCATTCTGGAGGGGAAAGAACGAGAAGGTTTGTTTCTGTAAAAAAAACCCTGCTATATTCCAAAATTAGACGTCACAGCAAAATTAAAAAAACATTCTTTTGTGAGGAGTCAGTGTTCAAAAGAAAATGTGATACTGACTTCTCAGAAAAGGCTGACCTCTTGCCATAGAATGTAGGTTCATGCCCTAAATGGCGTATCTAAAAATGTATAGTTTTTTTAAATTATTAAATATCTCTCAACTTTCTGGGCTTTTAGAGTAAAGAAACCCAAAGGATCTAACTCGTTTCTGCTTGGAAGTTGTAAAGATGATTTAGAATTCACGTTTGAACTGGTCACTTCCTGGGGGGTAGGAAGTGACCTCATTCTTTTGCAGTCTATCCAGCTGCAGAATTGAGTTGTTATGAATGCCGGCGGCGGTGGAAGCTGGTCACCTTTTCTTCCAGCGCTGCCATCCTTTCCTTCAGATGGAGCTGCAGCCTCTCATTGGACTCAGACAGCAGCTTGTCCACCGTGTCGGAGAGGCGCTTGTTGTGTTCGTCGTTCATTCTCTCTCTCTGCCTTGCCTGAGGGGGCGAGAACGAGACGGGTGAGAGAGAAAAGAGAAAAAAAAAGTGAGTGAGAAGAGGGAGAGAAGGCAAGCATTCAGCATGACAGAGAGCAAGAGAGAAAGATTTCTATCTGATTGTGCACGGTCAAATAGAGGGCTTGGAAAATTAGCGCGCCTTTGTGCTGTTTAACATCTGACAAAAGGAACTGCATGAAAGAGGGGGAGGATGAAAACAGAAAAGAGAGATGGAAAAGCGAGCATGACTCACTCTCTGTAGCTCCTGGTTCTTCTCCTCCAGTTGCGCCTCCATCTGTCGCAGTCGCTCCTCAAAGTTACCATGACGCTCCTCCGCCTGAGTGATTGGAGAGGAAGGGAGCAGGGTTAGAGCTGGGACCAAGTTGCGGGAGTAACACAAGTTAACACAAAGGAAACAGCTTGTTGACCGAGTCAACCAATTAGTTACATGCCTGTACAGATCACAGTGTAACAGGAAAGTTTGGTTGCTTGCATCTTACACGGCATCAATCTTATCCTGCCATGGCAACCATCCTGCCCAAACATGTAGGAAGTACAGTAAGTGAAGCCCTTCAGGAGGTTTGGCTAGTGGCGTTGGCATGAGTGAAAACGATGTTTACAGGAATGCAAGAGGTTCAAATATGAACTATTAAATCAGTCAGTCATGAAGAATTTAAACCGCACGCAGTTCTCAACGTGCTGATCGCCCAAGGATCAAACAGCTGTGCTGATAAGAGCCCTGTCAGCTTTTAACTCAGACCTATCGCTGATGAATTACTTGAACCACTATAAAAATATATGCTATTCATCTGTCACTCGACATCTATTGTTTAAAAGAACACAAAAGACACTTCAAGAATACTACACACTAAGGCCTGTGCCACATTACATACCTACACATGCATGCACACATTAACGCAGTCGGAATGAGAGCATATTAGCACATGCACAGATTAGAGCAGAGACGCTGCACACACTGCTGCTGTCTTCTGAGAATAAAGGCGTGCATGCTTATTGATATNATTGTGCAGTGCTCATTCTAAACCTTTCCGTTTGTAATGGGCTGTTTTCTTGGTCTGTGGCAATGCTGGTTGCAGCTTTCTATCTGAAACTGTAAAAGTGACCCGCAGTATATTCACATTGAACATATAACCACATGTCCAAATTGGACCAAATTCAACACTGTACTTCATTGGGCCCTTAGCAATACAAACTGCAAATGTGAGGTGAGATATGTGAGCCACATACTGACAGACAGATTTCTGGAATTAGTTTTACAGATTAGGGTTACAATGTGGTTTACTGAAGGTTAGAAATAGAATAAAAGCATTATTACAGGGAAATGCACGGCAAAAAAACACATAAAACCCACATTATAACTCAAACACAATGACACTAAGAAAAATATGGTCTTCAGCTGTGATTTAAAACTGTAGAAATATATATTTCATTACATAAAACTGGATGGGGATAAACAGATCTGTGACATAAGTTATAACTCCAAAATGCAAAACAGCAAAATGAGTGCTGGAGGTAAAATGCAACTAAAACAACACACACACACCTTGTTGAGTGCTGCCACTCTCTGGGCCAGCTGGGCCTCAATCTCTGGCAGTGTCTCGGCCCTCTGCAGAGTTTGTTGCAGCTTCTGTTTGGCATCGTCTAGACGCTCCTGAAGTTGCCGGTTCTTCTCTTCGCTCTGCAAGAAGACAGGATAAGAGGGAGCGGAGGTGAAACTTGGAGCACAACTGAAGATTGCCTTGAGGCAGTAGACATGATCAAAGCCACTGGAGGAGAAGAAAATGTGTTGATGGCACGCTCTTGTGTGCCAACGGGAAACATGGCCAAGCTGCCAATCAACAGCAGAGACAAGGGACACACAGGGATGAGAGAGATGTTTCCCACCTGTCTGTGGAGAGACTCTTTGCTGGCCAACTCGTTCTCTAGTTTGTCTTTTATGTCGTGGAGAGACGTTGCCTCCCTCTGGGCGCTCAGGTACCTGCACACCAGAACAAAACGGCAGACAGACAGAGCAGTTAGTGGAGGGCACTTTGGAAACCGGGTGATCTCTGAGACTTCACTGACACATGGAAAAATAAACCACAAACCTGCGTTCTAGTGTGGTGATTCTCTCCTCCATGTCTTCCCTTTGACAAAGTGCCTGAGGGATGTAAACCAAAAGAAAACGGTCTGACTCAGAGATAAAAAGGAAAGAAGTCCAAACAGGGAAAGTAGGAGAAGGCAGAGGTCAAGTTTACAATGATCAGAAGGAATTCACTAGGCCTGACCAGCTGTTTACTGAAGAATAATAATGTGTAGTAATCTGCTTTGTTGACAGATTTCAGAGGCAGCAACATGTCTGAGATAGGCAGAGGTGGGAAAATAAGAGCAGCAATTGAGGACAAGCAGGTGAGAACAAAGGGAAAAGGTTTGCTGAGTGAACTGACAAACTCTCGTCCCAAAATGCTTTCAATCAGCTCCCAGCAAAGTGACTGATTAACAGAACAGCATCCATGTGAAAACGCCTGCAGCTCTGTCACCATGGCTACAGGGTAGAGGCTCTTGTGCGTACAGTAGCAGCTGCAAAGTAGGCAAACGACTCTGTTACCATAGCAAACTGTTACATGTCTCTGTGAGTACGAGCAAAATAGAGTCATTGCATCCATGACAGACACACGTAGTGGCAGTTTGTGGTCTGTCGACAGCGCCGGGCTTCTCACCTCTTTCACGTCCCTCTGTAGTTTCTGGTTGGCCTCCTCCGATCGGGCCAGCTCCCTCCTGGCCGACGTCAGCTGCTCCTCGATCTCGCCGACCTGCAGGGAGGTGAGAGTGTGACCACACATCTTTTCCCCGTCCGTTATCATCTTGGGGTGGAGATATTTTGTTTGTTTTGATGGAAGCATCAGACCATAAGCTCTGCCCCTGAATCAGGTACCTGTCTGCACATGAGGGCCAGTCTCTCTTTCAGCTGTCCCAGCTCTGACCTCTGCCGCTCGATCTCGCCCTCTCGCTGCCTGTCAATTTCACCATCATCCAAGATGGAGGAAGGTCCATTGGGAAGCCGCTGAATGAGGAGAAAAGATTTACTTAAGTGGCCGTAATATATAACATTTCCATTCCCTTAATTTCTGTCAAACATTTTCTTTTTGTAATACTTTAAAGATCAATACACCTCCACCATTTATGTTAAACACTGTCTTTTCTCAACAATGTAGTACATATTGTTATTTTATTGATGTCTTCTGTTACACACGGCATTGACTGCACTCCTGTCCATCCTGGGAGAGGGATCCCTCACTTGTGGCTCTCTGGGGTTTTTACAGGGTTCTTTGGGGGATGTTTTTTTCTCAATCTAGGGTTACAGACAGAGGATGCTGCACTTTGTTAAGCTCTATGTGACAAATTGTGATTTGTTAATATGGCTGCACATATAGAGCCTGGGCTTTATTTTGGAAGGAATTCTCCCAACACACTTTCTAAACAACCAAACACCACCTGTGTTTTCACCTAAATAACTTAAAGATGACGTTCGTAGCTCATAAACAATGAAAAACCTGCACAAGTCCTGACAGATGTTGTTGTTTTTGAGTGTTAGCAAAGCAAACACACTCATTTCAGGCATTCACATCAAATGGCATTTCTTCAGAGAGGAAATCACTGAAATAGAACTCACTAGAGGAAAGATGAACTTGTCAGCAGACGATAAAGAGAAAAATAAGCTCCAGTGTAATTTCGTTACATTTAAACCAGCCTGTGTAAAATCTTCTTCACTGAGCCCACTGGAGCTGATCAGCAGAAGCACGCTCAGAGCTGCCACTGGTGGTCGGAGGCATTATTGAAGTAGTGCAATAACCTTTGACCTCCAGATGCCCTTCCAAAGCGAGGGTAGAACCATGCAGCATTGTAGATATTATAGGGAAATCACACACCTTCCATTAAAGCAAGCAGTGTATAGTCTATGTTGATCCAAATTGAAATGTTCCAAAAACCATTTAAAGCGAAGCTATGCATCCTCTACAGCCACACATGTTGATTCATTCCGTTAGGCTCCACGTCAGATAGATGAAGTGTTTTTTGAGTAGAAAAAAAAACAAAGCCCATCAAACTGAATCACAACTGAAAGGTGGATAATACCCATAATCCCAGACAACCTGAACCAGAATAAATACCCTGACATTTCCTCTAGTGTCACAATGGGGTTCACATTTATGATTTCGTGCAATAAATCTCAACTTCTGGATAAATTTCCCTGAAATTTGTACACACAGTGTAATCTTTTAAATCTTTATCTACAGTGACTTTAACATCAGGTTAAAGTTCTAATTTGTCCAAAACTTTTAGTAAAGACCAAATAAGATGACACTGTGGAATATTATAACTGGGAAGGCATGTTTAAGCATTTAAATACATCTGCTATTTGTTTACCATTAGGAGAATCGAGCCGGTCTCATCCACACTTACTCTCTTCTCTCCTTTGGAATACCCAAGGCCAGGTTATTGATAAAGGGCAAACTAGAGGTAAATTGAAACGTCTATGCTCAGGGACTTTCATATCTAATTCAAATGTGCCAGACAGAGAGGCTCAAACTCTTAGGGACATAACGTAGGGACATAAGGTGATTTAGGGATTCGTGCTTGAGGTTTAGGTAAGTATAATATTGAAGAACATATATGTAACATAGATAATGACAGGATCTCTTGCCTTTTATGGACATGTTGCAGGAATGGGTGATGCGTGGTGGGGAGGGATGGAGTAAATTAGGGTGCTGTGTGAGACAATAACTCATGTTACTCTGGTCATTACCTCTTTGCCGTTGTCTAGTCCTTGCTGCCGTCGCTTGATTTGGTCCCTTAGTGACACAACCTAAAACAACAAAGAGGGGGGGGGGATCATCAGGAGAGTCTCTGTCAGCGATTCAGAGAAACCTGTTGCAAAGCACACACGCTCAGAAACTCACCTCTTGAGAAGAGGACTGCAGCTCCTCTTCCAGGGATGCCACTCGCTCCAAGGCCACCCGTAGTCTTTCCCGCACCTTCTCGTCCAGAGCTTTGTGGTGCTCAAACAAAGACTTCAGGGCTTTTAGGACCTCCACCTCGCTCGACACCCCCTGCCGCTTCACCACGGTCATCCTCAGGCTGCGCTCATGACGGGACACCAGGAACTCCAGATGTTCCAGCAGCAGCTGCAGACAACATGTGGTTCACATACAATAAAACCTCCCCAAGGTACAGCTATTGTGATCATAAAATGTCTCAGATGATGGGATAGATAAATACCTGAACTTTAATGAACAGCCAAATAAACACAGGAACATAATGTTAAACAGACGGTTCAGTGCACTGACCCGTGTGTTGTTGCGCTCTGCCTTCAGCTCAGCGATCTCCTCCTCTCTCTCCAGCAGCTGCTCCCGGCAGAGGTTCAGCTCTTTAGTCAGCACGGCAAACTCCTGCAGGGTCACAAGAGGGCGCTGTTACAAACGCAATGCTGCTGTTGCTATACAAGGACATGAGCAGTTGGACCATAATCATCCCACACACTCAAAAAACTTTTTCTTTTGAAGCATTGTACTTTTCAAAGTTCCATAAATATAATTTTCTCCCTATAAAAAGAGTTTTAAGCCATGAATCTATGTGATACTTGGCAACTACAAAACATTTTATTCAGAGCGTATAATATTAGAAAACAGAAAAATATGTGATCATAGTTGTTCTGAGGTTAATGTAATGTAACGCTGAACCATGCGAATTTGGCCATCATGACTTTTCGCGGCCATGGTTAACATTTCCATGGTTACAGTGAGCTCCATCAATCAGAGATGTCACTAAACATAATAGGAAAGTAGGTAGTGTAGTCTTCCTCCTGGACATTGCGACTACTTTCACAACATGTTTTTTTTTAAATGCAGTTGATATCATATGAACTCGTTGCTTCTACAGGAGAATATGACATTGTTTCACAATCGCACAGCTTGTGGTGAGTCTACCTCAGATGATTTCAACACTGGTCATGATAATATGATAATTAAAATCTCAATTCAGAAAATGAATAGGATTTTAAAGGTACAGTGTGTAGAATGTAGTGACATCTAGTGGTGAAATTGAATGTTGCAGCTGAATGCCCCTCACATCACCTTAAAATGACATTTGCGTGTAAACAAGAAGCTCAAAAACAGAGGAAAACGTTTGTTCTAAATATCTTCATCAGTGAGGATAGGGCCTCACTTTCCGTTGGGAAACACTTTCCAACATGTTGACTGGCACAGTAGGAAACGGCCCTGCTGTTAACGATAAACGGTTAATGGCGGCACTGTTCTAAGTGTAATTGACTTCATTGTTTACACCTGTACTTCTCGTCCTCACAGTGTCTGCTGAGAAAAGAGGCTGTTGTTACCGAGAGTCGTCGGAAGAGATTAGCTGGCTCCTTTTACAGGTGGAGGAAGTAGTAACAAGCTAGGAGGGGAGACAACATCTGTAAAACGTTGTTGCTTCCTCATTAATGGTTAAATGTTGTTAAAAGCAGCTGTTCTAGACGGAAATCTGTGGTTTTACCCAGAGACACCGGCTGTGTCCAAAATCACTCACTAATCACTATGGTCGACTATATGCTGAGTTCGCCATTTTGGAGTTGTGTTTGAATGTTTGGTGACATTTTTTTATACACTATATAGTTTCCCCCTAATGCATCATGAAAAATAACGTAAAACAGATGGTCACAAACCAAGCAATATATACCATCATGCACTGCACTTGCGGCAAAGAGACAAGAGGAGCGAGGGCAGCAGGAGCAGCCTGACCTGTCGTACAAATGTGAATACGAGCAGAGCAGCTCATCACAGCACAAACTGAAGCGCAAGATGGCAGCATTCATATCCAGATGATGGCTTCATATCTGGATGGCAGGAGGAAGTGGAGAAGCGTCATCCATCCTTATTTACAATCTATGTGCAAGACATTTCCTATTTCCTCTGTCGCTTCTTTCATGTATTTCTCCCTGTATGATTGATAAATGTGACTGTAAATTCTACTGCCAAAATATTCAGGTTACCCACACAGTGCAATTAACTACAGCAAACAATTTGACAAATCTTGATTTCATTAGCAAACTCACACATTCAAGTTTCAATGCTTCAGTTTAAACACATGCATACGTGCTTCACTGTGGCTGCAGGAGGAAACGACTCACTAAGAACCAGCCTGACAGCAAGTACAGCATATTCTTTTACATATCTACCACAGCACTCACGGATCATGGCCACTGGGACTCTTAAACCGGACCTCGATATAAAATCTAACAGCCAGGTTTACTGCATGTGTTGCACCTGAAATTGGTTTTAATTGTGCAATAACCACGACTGGCTGTGGGTTCAGCCGTAATCAAAACAAACGCCTGGAGGTTAAAACAAGTACCCCAGTGAATGGGAACTGGGCCAGTGCAGTGTAATGTCTAATATTTCCAACCGACAACCGTCTAGCTCAATAGTGATTTTAGGTAATTTTCTACAATTATGAATAATTGTACAGTTTAGCTACACGACAGTTATGATTAAAATCTGTTGCCTTCAATGCAAATAAATGGTTTCTATGGCAACAGATCAACAAAGAGAGGATGTGAGACAATATCAAGTCTATCTACCTACTGTCTGTCTATCTGTCTGTCTATCTATCCTTCCATCCATCCATCTATTTATCTATCTATCTATAATCACAACATTTAGTCTTGACTCTCTAGCGTGTGATCGTGGCATGACACACACGACACAGAGCACACGCTTGTCCCCACACACGTGTGCGCTGAATCATGTGGTTTTTTTTAAAAACGCTTATGCAAACGAGCCACTAAAGGGCAGTGAAGCGTGTGCGGCACTGCTGTTATTTCAGCGTTTATGTTAACAGTGATCAGTTTACCCCCCACATGGCAGCACACAGGCGACTGACCTCACGCCATTTCTCAAACGCCAAAATGAGTCCACACCAAGCTCCTGATCTGATGTGCTGGGTGGGCTGCATTTTGCGAAGACAGGAGAAAGGAGTGAAAGCAGGAAGCGTACTTGAAAAGATAGAAGAGGAAGGGGTGAGGGAGGAAGTTGCTGTGTGCAGATGGCGTGTTACGGGCCCAGTGGGTTTTATAATTCTGGGATTACTTTATATAAAGGATGGTGTGAGATGGGTGAATGATTTGTCTAGATTCCTCTCTCTGTCTCTTTTCGGTCACCAACATTATGGTCAAATGCAAATCGCTCAACTTCCCCTCGACTGTGCTGGCATTCACCTCTCATGCTTTTCATGTTCCATCCTGCTGCTCCCCCCGTTCATCCACTTGAATCTCCCCCTGTCATGATACTCGACAACTAAAAAAACAGACTCTAAAAGCCACTCATTAGTATGCAGCAATATGCAAATGAGCTTGATTTGTTAGTCCCTGTGTGTTTCATAAGACCAGGTTTTTTCTCTCCCTCTCTCTCTCTCTATGTGCCATGCTGTCGCTCTCTCCCTCTATTTTTTTCTGTCTTGGCAACATCTACACACAGAGACGAACTCAGTGAACTCATCTACTGTAGAATGGATCACAGCGCTCCATGTGTTCCTCTATCCGCGCGTGTTTCTGCAGATGTGCTCGCCATATTGATCTCCTCTCGCTGAGGTAATACGGCCCTTTAATGTCCAGTCACTCTGCGTTAGAACGTGCAGCGCCGCTACATCTGTTATTTCATTCTGATGTCTCAGGCGTGGCAACAGAGAAAAATAGGTACTAACGATGGGGGGAGGCATCGCCGCTGCCTGAGGCGTCCGACGATGACTCCCACCTGAAAATAGAGACACAGCCCTTGTATGTTGAGTGAAATTGCAAAATGATTAGCTCTCGGGCGCTGAGATGTGGGATATTATTTGCTTTTGTGCTACAAGGGGGATTTTTTTGCTGTCATCTGAAGGTTTTAGGTTCCTCTCGTGTGTTTACCTTCGTTACATGTGGCAAAAACACAGCAGGTCGTTTGACAAGACAAAATCCTGGAAGAATCTTTTAAGCATTTGCTTGAAAGAAAATCTGTCTGGTGCACAAAGATGATCACATATAGATCACTTTACAATATTTAATTTCTCCATTGAAGCACATGTTTTGCCTGTGTTTTACAAAAACACTAACTGATATAATTTTCTGCAACCTGGATAAGAAATACAGCCACAACTTGAGAAGCAGGTGGAAGTGTGTTTTTATATATATTCTATATAATAGTAATTTGGGCTGCGACTAATGAACAGTGCTGTTCCAAATTAATCCACCTTACTTTCTCGATGAATCGATAAATCAAGTTTCTATTAAGTTTAATCAGGAGGAACAGCTTGGAAGTACTGATACTGAAGTATATCTATAATATAGTTACTTTAACCAGGGGATACAGCTTTGAAGTGCTAAAACTCAAGTATTTTTGTAGTTTAGTTACTTTTATTAGGAGGTACAGCTTAGAAGTACTCATACTGAAGTTTTTCTGTAGTTTCTAGTTACTTAAATCAGTAGGTACAGCTTTGAAGAGCGATATTTAAGTATTTCTGTAGTTTTGAGTTACTTTTATCAGGAGGTACAGCTTTGATGTACTGATACTCAAGTATTTCTGGAGTTGCTAGTTAGGAGGAAGATCTTATAAGTATTAATACGGCTGTAACCAAAGTGGACACAATGGTACAATAAAGGAATCAGACTGAGCGCCACCTTGACCAACAACAACATTAAACCCTGCTTACAGGTTCACACATCAATAATTCAACACTGTGACAGGAACCATTTTCACTATGAGCGCACTTTTGATATGAGCACACATTCCAGTCAGAAGGCTCGTTTACTTTCACTGAAGACAGACAGTGAATGTGGATTTGCCGGAGTCGATCATCTTGGAATCTGTGTTTTCGCTCACATGGCTGGATGACGAGCAGGCGGGCCATCCAAGTTCTATATATTTCATTCTAATAATCCTTTCTTTTTATGTACAGTTTTTTATAACAATGTTTATTACTGTAAAATATCAAGGCTCATCTTTGTCATAAGTGTTTGATAACGACTTCTTAGCTGAAAGTTTTTCCATCCTTAATTTGCCAAATTTTGGCATCAACCACTAAAATCCATATCTAAAAAGAGACACTGCAACCTAACTTTGCATTTGTGTGTCAATCAAAAAAACAACATCTTGGTGAAGTCGACATACAGAAACCAAATGAATCTGTTCCATGCTCTCAATCTTTTCTCAAACTACACACAGCGAGTCATCTTTTGTTTTCTTCTCTGTTGAAATGATAAGAACACACTTTGTTAAAGAAGCAAAGGTTTTCATCCAAAATCATCTCCTGGATTTTCATTATCAGAATTATTCATAATAAACACTGAGGAGATAATTATGTAAATATTGTTCTTCAGTACCCATTATGCATTTAATCTGGTTGCAGAGCCTTTATTATGCTGCGACTGGATAAATCTAATGGGACATTAGCTGTGTCTCAGTTCAGGGGCTGCATCCTTAGGAGGAGGAGGTCTATCAAAACACTGCTTCCTTCATGGGCAGGGTAGACCGCAAAGGGCCAATCGAAATGAGTCGGCTGGTGATTATCCCGCCCTTATTACCATTACCTAGCAACAAAGCTGAGGTTGCAGATGAGCAGAAAGTTTTAATGCCTCTTGAGTTGAAGCGTCATACTCAAGCATTTGACGTCTAGATGCTTTTACGAATGGTTTGTCACTGCAGAGCAATGAATCTTGGGCCGGGAAGGATCCACCTGTTGGAGCCTTCTTTTCTCTGGGATGAAAGAACGCATTTGAAGGAACCTTCGAAAGAGGACAGCCTAGTGGGGCTCATGTGACCCAAAAGGTCCTCAAATGCAACCTTTGAGGGATGCTGTCTCTGAAATGAGACATAGCTATTTTCCGCTCTGAATGACTGATTTTTAGGTTAAATGTGTCTTTAGTCCAACATGTAGATCAAAACCTAAAATAAAGGACGCGTTTCTTTTCTTCTCTTTTCTACGGACATCATGTGATCAGTGTGCGACACCTGACCTCTTCTCTCAGCTCTCAGCAGCTCCCACCCTCCCTGACTGTCGCTCTGACCCCCTCGGTGTTCGTACCTGTGGCAAGGCAATGGACAGCTGCCTCTGGAGGGACTCTTTCTCGTGGCCCAGCTCTCGCAGTCGTAGGTGGGCCGTCCCCAGACTGTCCTGTGTCTCCCTCAGGCTCTCCAGCAGCCTCTCCCTCTCCGTCAGCATGTTCACCATCAGCGACTCCAGGTTGCCCGTGCTTCCACCTTCATCGCTGCTGCCCCCGCCTCCTCCACCACCACCTCCTCCGCCACGGGAGTCCCGGCTAGTGAATCCACCTATGCCTCCCATCCCTCCGCCTATCCCTCCTCCGCCACCGGCCGGGGAGGGCGAGCCGGCTCCTCCCCCGCCGCGCCCGTCCTCAGAGATGGTGGGCATCACCTCGCACATCATCTTGAGGCCTGGATGTGAGAGGTTTTATGAGAAGACGACGCCTAGGACACTCGAACGCAGTGTCTGGTGGAGGACTGGCCGGCTCTCGTCATGAAATACTCAACAGTCACTCTTTAACTGAGGATCTTTCAGCTGAGGCTGATTGGCTGAGGCTGGCGGCAAGAACCAGGTGCTGAGAGACGATGGAGGGAGAAAAGTGAGAGGAGGGATTTGGGAGGGAAGCGATTTTGGGAAACTGTGTTGGGTGAAAGGGGCTGAGGGGGGTACAGGGGAAAGAGGTAGAAGTGCAGGTTCTGTGGTCGACCTCTGACCCCCGGGCTTCACTGAGAGGAGAAGAGAAGAAGAACCTGGAAAAGAAGAAAGAGGTGTGTTTATTTAAGGCAAACATGATGATGAGAGCAGCTGAGAGGAGGAGGAGGATGAAAGGATGAAGGCCGCACATTTCCAGGAAAACATAGCAACCTGTGTTTCCCACCAGGTTGAGATCATCGCTCATGTGGATCCAAAGTGACACACTGACACACACACACACACACACACACACACACACGCACACACACACACACTCACACTCACACACCCAGAGCAGTGTTTCCTCTCTCACCGCCTGACATCGCGATGCTAAACGTCTGGACTAAGTCATCCATCAGCGTGTGTCTCCGCTTTTTTATTTCATGTGCACGAGCGTGCACGGCCATAATGGTAATAATGATGAATGCGCGTGATGTACGGAAATGAGTCGTGAATGGCAGCAGCCCTTACTGAACGTAACGTTACGCAAATCCAGAGCAATTATCCAGGCCTGGAGGAGGAAGAGAGAGAGAGAGAGAGAGAGAGAGAGAGAGAGAGAGAGAGAGAGAGAGAGAGAGAGAGACGAGGCTCTGGAAGAGGAAGAAAAGAAGGAAATAGAGGAGGAAAAGGAAGAAGAGAAGGGTGTCATCATGAATTGTAATTATAAGCAGGATCCAGCAGGAAGCAGCCTGAGCGTCTTTTTCTATGGTTCCGGAAACCATGAGTAAAAAAAACGTCCTGGTGAATGTGGAGGCTGATGATCCTCAGACAGGAAATGAATCAGGAAATGTCTTAAGAAAATAAATGACCTGTATAAAGAAAAAAACTGTATGTGAGGCTGCGCACACACACACACACGCGCGCACACACACGCACGGCTATCACATCATGGTGGGAGGTGCCAATCATCCTGTAAATGATGAAGGCCTAATTAACACGCCCGATCGTCGCGCGCTCCACGATCCGGTGACATGATTTCGTGACGTGATGAAGATTAACGTCATCACATCGGTTCTTCTCTGTGTTTTTATTCCGAGCGACCGCGTCTATTTCCTATCAACACCCCCCCTCCCCTCCCCTCCCTCCTATAAAAACAGCTGGAACTGGGGAGGATGAGGATGAGGAGCACCCCCCCATCACCACCACCACCCTTCCCCCGGTGCGTCCTTACCGGGTCCATGGTCGACAGAGAGCGGAGACGAAGGCGCATCTCTGAGGCCGGTTCACTCCATCAGAGCATCCCGAGGAGCCGGAGGCTGCAGGTTCGATCCCCCCGTCACAGCCCGGTCAGCAGCCTCAGCCCCGTCCCCTCCCCGTGTCTGCTCAGGGAGCGACGGCTCCGTCAAACCGCACGCAGCGCACAAAGCGCGACGTCCGGTCAGGACTTTCACAATAAAACAGGCAAGTGTGGAGCAGCAGAGAGAGAGAAAGAGAGAATGCAATTGGTAACATTAAAAAAACAGCAATTAATTCTCTGATGATAAATTATCCCCAAAAAGTTTTTATGTGCTTTAATTGATTATTTAGCATTGATTTAAATGTAATGTTCTGAATTTATTCCTTTAGCGCTTGTTTGAGCTATTTTACTTATTTGTTTTTGTTGTTGTCTTTAAATGCTTTGTTGAACTCTGTACTTGGCTATATTGTAAATGAAATCTCTACCTGAATGTATTTATGAACTTTATTTTGATTTTTTATTTATCACACCAGCCTTTTAGCTCATGCCGCCCTGCAAATGACTTGAGAATATTGTGGAAACATATGAAAAATGAAATGAATTTGAATCTTGAATGTTGTTATAATCTTTGGTATATATCACATTGTATTTGTTAATGTGTCAGTTTTAATTTGTACAAATAATAACCCACAAACAAATGCAAAATAAGACATCTGTTTTACTTCTTCAGGCCTCTAAAAATATAACAGTGTGTGGTTAAAGTGCTCAGAGGTAGAGATGTATAACAATAAGCTACTTTACATTCCTACTCCACCACAAAATGTACTTTTTACTTCATTTACCTGATCACTTTATTACAAAATAGAAAAATATTCTGAAAATATAATATACAGCAGTGTCATTTTGATTTGGTGTGTAAAGTATCAACTTTTATACTTTTTCTCAACTAAAGATTCAAACACTATTCTACTCATTAAAAGTCAGTAAAAGATCTAAATTGTTGATTACACTGATGAACTGATAATAACATATACGTCCCCTGACTGCTTGTGGACAGAGAAATCAAATCAACCATCACATGATTTCTGTTGAGAAGAAAAAAGTAAGGGCTGAAAAAAACAAACTTATTTAAATTCCTGAATATTTCAAAAGGGAGAAAAGTTGATTATTTTACTCTAGAGATAAAAAGCTTAGAGCTTCCGCTCGTGTACCGGATGTTTGTGTGAAACTTGACGCTCTCTCATCTCTCTGCCTCTCCTCAGAAGGATGCGGCCCTTAAAGAAACAAGCTTCAGAAGTCTACACTTCCTCACTCTCCCTCCTCTTCACGCAAGTTCTCCCTCTCTCTTTCCTTCTTCTACATTTTATCTTGAAACCGGTTCACACGATGAGCAGATCCTTTCTCTGGGTTTATTCTGAACGCTGTGGTGGATGAAACTTGACAGAGACATTGAAACAATTGCACCCTCTGGCGTCTGAACGGGAGAAATGCACCGCACTGGTACCGCCAGGCTTTGACCAACTTGTTTTAATTTGAGGCAAAAAAACGTGGATTTTGTTATTTTCTGTGAAATGTAAATGTGTTAATCATTCAGCTTCTAAGAACTTGACCATATGTTTGACTTTTGTTATAAGTTTGTATCAACTTCAGGGATTGTGGATGTTTATTGTAGCAAATAAATTATTTTTAATTGAACAAATCTGAATAAAGACTGAGTTAAATTTCTTCAGAATGATTCAATCACCCACTCTTCATGTCAGGAGACTGACAGACCTGTCAGTCACAATTCACTATCAACGGTCATGAACGGCTCGGTCCCTCGACCAATCAGAGAGTGAAGAAGGCGGGTGTAAAACCCCTTGGTGAGGGAGGAGGGAGGAGGAGAGGGGTGTTGGAGGTGACGTAATGTCCAATTCAGATGAAAGTTTACACCAGAACTTTATTAGTGATAATAAAATAACTTTATTTCTGATAATCAATAAACAGCTGATCACAGAGTCAGACAAATGAGGAATTTCAGGGCGTAAATGACTCGAGTGCTCGAGCTCTGGTTTATTCAAACTGTCGTCTTTGAATGATTTAACCATCAAATTCCAGAACCTCAGACTTTTTATTTCACATATGCACACAGGCTTTTATTCTGAAACGTAAAGAGGCCTGGATTTATGGACTTGTTATAATGATTATTGATTGATTGATTGATTGATTGATCGACATACTGTATGTAGCCTATATTTGTCTGAACAGGACAAAAAGTGATGAGAAATGATACAGAAATCATTCAGTCTTTAATTTGAATAAAGTTAATCATCTCATGAATAAAACATGGATTCATGTTTAAATGTAAATGTTATGTTTCATCTTAAATGTGAAATATATACTGATATTAAATAGACCTGTTACATTCATTTAGCTTTAAAAATTGAAAAGAAAAACGTCTTGGATTTCATATAACTGAGACTAGTTGATAATCTTATGAATTTCCTTTTACGTTTTTTTACATGCTCTTCAGAAGTGCACGGCAGGAATAAACATGAATAATCCTAACAATATAAAGGAATATTAAGTAATAAAAGTATATACTTCTCTCAGTTTTATATTAACCATTAGTATTTTAAGATAAAAATACAATACTTATATTCAGAGTTAGGATTCCAATGTGAATCTAATTAAATTTGTTACAGGTAGGTTACACCTTCACTTTAGATCACAGTGCCGATTAGTTTATTTGTACCCATTGATATCAACTTTAAAAAGTAGTTTCTGTAACTTTCAGTATTATTTTACAGCTTAAATCACTGACTGATGAATTGTCACTTTTAATTCACCAGAAGAATTCCACTTTAGCAATAAAATGTTTCCTAAAACAATTGAATCTGTGCTAAAGATGCAACAAACCTTTGCTGAATAGATGCAAGAAAACCTGTCTGCCTCTCCGTACATATCCTTTTTATTTTGGTGAATCTATTATTCTTCTCTTTATAATATTTTCTTTAGCTTGAAAGTTGTTTTAATCTCTCCTTGCTAAATTAAATTTTTTTTATTGTGTCTGTGTTGTTTTTAATGTTCCTGTACAGCACCATGAATCCACTTCTGTATATGAAGTGTGCTTAATAAATAAAAGTGCCTTGCTTTGCCTGTATAAAAACAGAAACATCTATAATCTGCACATTTATACTCATATCAGAGTTTAATCTAAAAAAGATTGGAAAAACAACATCATTCGTCTCTATATTAACTGGAAATTTCAGATGTTCTCGGCTCTGTTTGAGTCCAACTGTTCAAATCAAAGTGAGTAAATACCAACTTCCTGACTCAGGCAGCTTCCTCAGGACGTCTTTATTTGGCCGATATGACAGCAGTGACGGACAGGAGGCAGCTGCATGGGCACCAGGAGAGGAGGGGCCCCTCGGGGGTCGCAGTAGGTCAGCGGGTTAGAGGAATGCTGATAGGAATGCAGCGAGCAGCGGCCAGGGGAGAATCTCGACAGCGGGACAACAGCGAGGATCAGCAGCTCCCCGGGGAGCCATGACAGCGGACAACAGGCTCAGAGGAAGAAGAGGAGCAGGACGAGGAAGAGTAGGGGAAGACGAAGGAAGAGGAGGCTGAGCTCTGAAAAAAAAAACCTGAATGGGGGAAAACTCACATCCAGCTTCCACACTCATGGAAACATCTGTCATCATTAACATATATATAAGAAATATGCTTGTATATAATATGAATTGTGTATTGTTTCCTTTTTTCTATTCATCCGTTCTTTATTTTCTGGGTTTGTGCTCCTGCATCAATCAGAGCTCATCTGATCTCATACATTTGTGTATTTTTACATGCTGTCATTTGAATATGCACTTCTGTCAATGAAACCGTTTGTTACAGTAAAATTATTAAGACCATTCTTCACTCTGAAGTTTCATCAGTGTCATTAAATGAGAATAGAGCACAGGAGTATGTTTCTGTTTCAGAAATATATGATTTAAATTAGAAAGGAGGGAGTTGGTGGTTTGAGAGTTTACATCAAGTTACAACAATGTAGTTTAGGAATACTGAATATAGTATATTTGTTTTTTTATATTTTCATATATAAGCAATTATCATATTTTAGTTTAGAGTGGGGTCACAAACTACTGACTCGTGCCGGATCAAGCCTGTGAGACATTTAGGTCCCAGGACATTTTCACTTATTTATATAATTGTCGACCTTTTTATTAATTGCTACATTGTGGCTACAAAAAGTTAAACTGTAAAACCGTGATCTTTGTTTTAAAATCACCAACTATCAAAATATCATATAAACTAGAAGAGCTGATTATTTTTATTTTCCTTTTTGCATTTAGTTCAATGTAACTGCTTATAAGGTTTTATTTAAGAAAACAACCTTGAGCAACATCACAGCTAACACGAGTCATCAGGAGACGACACAAACTAGTACGATCAGATCAATGGTGCGATCACAGTTACCTGAGTGACGCCGTCTTTCACTGTGTAAACACAAAGCTGGGTCGTGTCTTTTGACTGATAATTGGTGAAAAGTGATAAGCTGAGAGTCTACTCTCAAACTGATCAAGTCAGACACGTTTCCCTGGAAATATAGAAAATAAATTAATGACATTTCAAGAGACTGAAATATCAGAAGGTTTCACTTCAATTAACACGACTGACTTTTCTTAAAAAACATTTCATAAAGTGGTTTTAACTCAACAAAACCGTACTTGCAAATTCTAATTCTTATAATAAATCTCTTATATTGAAAACAGAATAAATATATATATTTCAATGAAACAAAAAAATATCAGGAGGCTCCACTTCACTATCTGATTATCTAATGAGAAGTTCATACCTCTGCCAAAGCTCAACAGTCCTCATAAAACCACATTTAAATTTACTAGAACCTGATTTTTCTTTGGATCTGCACCAAATCTAAACACCAGTCTCCTAAACATGCCTGATGAAAACATAACTCCTGGGTGGGGCTCACTAGCAGGAAGTTCAGAGAGCGTACCTCCGCCGAGGCTAACGCCCAATCTCGCCATATTAAAGAAAGTGGGGGGAAAAATCCTGAACCCGTCTCTTTATCGAGATTTGCTCCAGAGTTGAATGAGTCGTTTCCTACCCCTCCACAAACTCTCATGGAAATCTGTCCTCTACTTTTTGAGTGATGCTGCCTAACAAACAAACAGCAGCGATGACATCAGGTCCTTGGTGGAGGTCATAGACATAGAAAGTGAAATATAAGTGAGAAATCATCTGAATTGAAAGAGTCTGTTTTAGAGGTTTTAAATTAACACTTTATTCGAAGATGATAGTGTTTTTACACCGAAGGCCCTGCACGAATGAAAACTTCACTGAAGCTGAAGATTTCTGAAAATACACATACAGTTTTTATCTGTTGTTTTGAGAGCTTGAATCTAACATAGACCACAGACATGAACACACAATACGATACGTCATGATTCACAAGTCCAGTCCGCCTGAATTCACACATACTACTCACATTACTGAGTTTGTAGAACCCATCTGGATATCTGTGTCAGTGCAAAGTGTGCAGAGTGTGTGTGTGCGTGTGCGTGCATGTGTGTGTGCATGTGTGTGTGCATGTGTGTGCGTGTGTGTGTGGGCTGTCAGAGCATGGTGCGTTAAGTGTGTAAAGGCAGATTCTGTGGAGGCTCAGCAGGCAGATTGTTCTGGACTTGAGCTTCTGGATCAGCTGGAGCTTTTTCCTCTGTAAAAGAGCAGAAGAATATTAACGGAGTGAAAACGGTTACGACACACATCCACAGCAACAACTCGCTGCCACATGTTTCCTGTCGTTTACCTTTAACTTCAGGTTTAGGTGCCTGTGGTTGAAACTGTAGTTCTCCGTTAGGGCCTGCAGGAGGCTGCCCATCTGCTGCCTGCTGCTCCTTCTGTCGCTGGGACATCTCTAATACCGCCTTAAAAATAAAACAAACCAAAACAATGAGTCTGTACTGGAGATGTTCTGATACCATCTCCCCTTCCTGATACAGATTCTGATACCTGGACTTTGCATATCAGTCAATATCAAGTACAGTTCTAAAACCAATGCATTTAAAAAATAACTTATATAATGTATTTTAACAGATGTGTGCTACTAACCCTATATGGAAGTAATGATTGATATGGTTAAATATAGTCAAACTGCTGACATTTGAATCTTGCTCTGGCTAACGCTGCACTACCAGAAATCACTTCTCTTCCCTAACAACAGGACTTTCCAGGGACAGTACATCGCAACTAGTGTTTTGGAGCAGCGGAGAAAAAGCGATATCCGGGTTAAGATATTTGCGTTTTTTTCTGGGCGAAACTTTACAGACGTAGCATCGGATACATAAATTTGCTTACTCATCAATGCTCAACCTGGCACATTCAGCCGTATCAGAGGCATTTCTGTTGCTGTTATCAGCATCAAAACAACTCATCTGAACAAGTCACTGTGTTCTTACAGGCTGAATTAGCTGTTGACATTATCAAACTGAATTTTCACCCCAGTCTCAGATGGTATGAATGACCTTGGATGAGTTAAACCACCGTGACGTCGCTCATTGGTTTGTAAGCCACCGTTTTGAATCCTTGAGTTTGGCATTTAGTCCAGCGCCATCTTGTTTTTTTATTTAAAAAAACCCCCAGAAGTAATCTTATTAGGTAGCACAGGGGGTGGAGCCTGAATGAGGGCTCGAGGACAGTGCCCACCCACCTACAGCTGTGACCTGCACCCATTGGAGGATGCTGACCTGCCTGTCAGTCAAGAGAATACATGCCTCAGGCACTTTCACATTGGCTTCACTTTCTAGACTGGAGGTCTACGTCCATTTTTATTTAGTCTCTAGTTTGGGACAGTTACCTGCTGGTACTCTCTCTTCTGAGCCTCCAGGGCTTTGCCTCTTTCATTCAGCAGGTCCTGCTCCTGCCGCAGCGTCTCCGCTCTCCTCTTCAGCTCTTCTTCTTTGTCTCTGAGCTCAGCCTCAAATCGCTGGAGCTCTTCCTCCGTGTACGCCGGCTTCGAGTCCAGAGTCTTGAGAGACGGCAGAGGGAACACGCAGAAGTGACACTATTAAAGGTAGCAGTGAGGGAATATTCTAATGCTTCACATAGAAAGTAAATCAGCAACATGCTGATAAGCTGGTTTTAATGTTGATGATCTGTACTTTGCCTGGCATGACATTGCACCTGAAAGGCTCTATGAATGCAAACGTGTCAGGAACCCAGTCCTGCTGTGCTCAGCCCCATAATTCCACCAAATGTTAAACAAAGAGCTGCTTGACCCATTTCACTTCAACCACGTTTTCACAGCTTGTCCTAGGACATGAACCACAAGCGATCCAATAACCCGACCACAGCCCGTCAGGCCACCTCTTTACCTCCCACTCTCTGGGGCTATTAAAGTCCTTCTTCTCAGTGGATTTCAGGAATTCCTCCAGGCTGACGAGCCGGTCCTTGTTTGTATCCACCTTTAAAACGCAGAAACGAGGATGACATCGCAGTCAATACAAAGCAGAGAGAAAAGTGAATGGGATATGATTAAGAAAGATGAAAGTAAAGACTCACATTCTTCATGACGTGCTCCCTCATCCTCAGCCTTTCTTCCTCCATCTCCATCATATCATCCTCCTCGTTCTTTGGATCGTAGACCTTCTCCAGCTGGAGGAGGGAGATGAACAGATGTTAGCTGCCGTTAGGATGCTGGTGCATACCACTACTGTCAGGTTAAAAACTTTTTATCTTTCTAAAACGCCAACATGAACAGCTGTATTTTCAAACTGATGATCATCCACTTGTCATATTCTGAAGTGTTTCCAGGAAAGGAGCTGTCATGAACTGCAGGGTTTTTACCTCCTTTGTGAAGAGAGCCTCCAATTCCTGCTCGTCTAAAACACCATCTTCGTTCGTATCTAAACAGGGCAGAGAATCATGGGAACTGTTTCATATCAACCTCGTCGGAATGAAAAAGAACTGGGGTTAAAAAGGAGGTGTTGTTACACACCATGCAGTTTAAAGAAGGTTTTAGGGTTGAACTCTTGTGGATCCAGGCCGTCTGTCTCCTCCCAAACTTCCCGCAACTGAGCAACACTACCCTGAATGTGACAAGATGCAGCAGAAACAGGAAACACATGTTAAAAAAAAAAAAAAAAAAAAGGTTGATTCACCGCCACCATTTCCACTGATAATAAAAATGGTTCCATCCTTTGCTCACCGGAGCGTTAACTTTGGGGTGCTGCCGGTGTTTCTCCTGCAGCTCTAACATTCTCTTCTCCTCTTTCTCCCTCTTTTCCTGGTCCAGGCCCTTCAGGTACTCTCTCCTCTCGTGCTCCTTCAGCATCTCGTAGCGCTTAAACTCCTCGTGTCTCTCGGCGTCGTAGTTCTCGAGGTCCTTGGTGGCCTGAACAAAGTAGTCACATGTAAACACAAAACAGAAAAGGTGCAGAAACACACTTGTCATTGGACTCTGATTAGGTTGATTCTCCAAGAATGTGGTGAAAATAATAACTTCTGTACGTTAGATGAAAATCTGATCAGAACACCGATCTATCTCTTTTTACTCTTGAGTCATTTTCAGACATAAACAGACAAGAGTTTGCCTTCAACACATGTAGGACAAAGAAGGAGATTGTTCAGGGAAGACATGCTTAGTGTTTTTGTAAACACACACATCAACACTGCAGCAGCCCTTTACCACCAAATGCTCTTCTTTGTGATCCTGACATATTTCAAGTCTTCCAGTGCGTTTGTCATTTTAGAAATGTAATCAACAAGGCCACTCGCTCGCTAATTTTCCCGACATATTCCTGCTGTATTTTTACATGGGCTCACCAAGAAATTTTTTCGGACATTTTACAAGAGGGCTAGTAGAAAAAGTTCCAGAAAACCTCTGGTATGGACCTCAGTACGTGTCTGAAGGCAGCTACAGTGAGGGAAACTAAAATCTCTCCTCTCACTCATCACAGCAGAATCTTACTGTTGAGATCAGCAGCTCAAGGTCTTTCGCCTCAAACGTGTTTTGATTGTGTGGATCCAAATGTTCAAACTGCTTCAGCAGGGAGGCGTGGTCCATCTGGAGGCCTGCGCAGCAAATACAAGAATTAACAAACACACGCTGGACTTCTGACAATCATGACTTTGTGTGGTTATTTTTCAAATGATAAAAGCTCTTTGCATCTGCATCTATGCACATGAATCGAAGATGACAACACTGTAAATCTGTACGCTTTTTCTGTAAATTAAGCAACAGCTGCTACACTTTCACATATATTATGAATATATTCCCAGATTTACATTTCTTCAAGAAAATGGGAACATTTTACAGGGAATAACTGCATGTTCTAAAGTATTTTGTTTGTTTATTTAAAATGTGCTCTTGTGCAGGTATATTGATTG